CGTACAGAACCGGCAACGTCGCACCAGACCGGCGTAACAACGAACCCCTTTTCACGGATTACTTTTTTCCACTCTCTGGCCGATAGACTCCATTTGGAAAACCCCCTGCCACAACTTGCGCCGCCCATGGGCGAAAACTCTCCCCAAATCACTCGATGGTCCCTATTCTTTGCTTTTGTCTTTGCATTCGACGTTCTCTCTTTCTCTCTCTCCCCCTCTCTGGCAATCTTTTTTTACTTTCCCTGGAAGTTATTTCCTCCTTTTCGTCCTTCTTGCTCCTTTGGAATATCGTTCTGAGATTGTTAAGTCTATAAGCGGGATTATACCTTTCCTGTGGGGTACCGCTTTGCTTGGGAGCCATCAATAGAAGTAAGGAGACGACCGAGTCCCCTTGTCTCGAGGCGCGAATTAATGATCGAAGGGATAAGAACTGAAATTTGAGGCCATCTCGATTATCGACGAAGTGGAAAAAAAAAGACCAGTAAATACCATAAATATTTCGAATCGTATGTATTGTATTATTATTTTGTACATATTCGATTTTTATTGTTCATAAAACATGTTATTCCAAAAAAAACATGGAAATATAAATTAATCTTCGATGAATAAAAAGTACATTATCTTTCATGTTTGCGGATTTTCTTTTGTTTGATATTCGAACATGGGAAGGAGACAACAACCTTAAAAGTGAATAAAAATTTATTTACTCCTGATGTTATAATATTCCCCACAATGACAAGTTCATATCGTTGTCCATAGTGTGCGCGTTATCCGTCGAAAAATCTTGTATACAACAGTCGGAAAATCACTAACAAATGATTCGTCTACGAACGCTCGTACTTGGAATACAATTTAAATGCGCTGAATGCATACAATGTGTATAGTTACTTCGAAATGATCTGTAATAAGATACCGAAGTGTATTCAGACAGAGTCGTTGCTTCGTAAAATATCGAATAGATGTACCTCGAGAGTTTCACGACAGTTTCTTAAAGTATAAATACGTAGAAAAGGACAAATAATGATAATACGACGTATATTTGTCGCTCGCGTACTTTTACGCTGAGAAAAAAGTTTCGTACGTTTTACCATGCTACATTTTCTACACTGAAGTTGGCATTATCGATAATGAGCGATAATCGATTACTGACGAGTGATACTATCGGATATGCGATTAAAAATGGCTGATGAGCTCCCGCGAAAATTCAAATTTGAATAATTTCAAAAATACGAATTCTACTAAAATTGCCATGATTACAATTTTTTTTCAAATTCAAAGAGAAAGTTATACGATATACTTTCTACAGAGCTGTGGAAATTTAAAATTTCAAGAGGAACTTAAAAAACTTAAAATTTAATATCATCTAGAAATATATTTGTCACTTCGAGGAATACCAATTATTATACGGATATATTTACCACGATTCCCCTAAATGCAAATGAATTTCAGAATTGATAACACATTTGCAGAACAGTTACATTATAGTTCTCGGTACTAAACTTTTTTCTCCGAATAAAACACTCGAGGGTGTACACAACGATCGATTGATTCACAGTGATTAACTCATTGATCGATCTCCGCAAATTGCTTCGCGTTAAAATCGATCGACTCGCGCGAGAAGCAATAAAATTCATATTTCTTTAAAGAAAAAATTTTTCCTCCTATTTTAAATGCAATTGCTGGTCAATTGTTTAAAATAATAAATACTGGCGTATACACATATATCACAATTCTTTAATTTTTAATAAAGGAGCTGCAACCTTGCACTTCAACAACCATCCAATTAAATGTATATTAATTATTATTTTGCTTTCCTAT